GTGCTTTCTTTCGTATCGCCGCAGTGTGTTATTTTCAATTTTTTCGAATTTCAATACATATTTTTTATTATTGAAACTAAAGGCCTGGTTTTTGCTCAGCAACTGAAGGCCTGGTTGCAAGGTAAAATTTTGCCTTGCTTAGATACTGGAAATAGTATATCTAGTATTCAAATCTGGGTTACTATATTTCAAGGATGGATACTAGATTCTATCATGGTGGTATCCACTTGGATACTGACAAAAATTTCAAGTTTCGACCCCTGACATATATACGTAACGTTAATTGTTTTAAGAATTCCTGCCCGAAAATATGCAATCGACTACTAAGCGTAGAAAATAGCATCCTTCAGAAATACAGCGCAGCGTGTTGCCCATATATGGTCAATTTTTGCTACAGTCAGATTCAAACGTTCCAAACCAATCAGAATGGGGCAAATACTATAGTTTGCTATGGTGGCATGAAATTGGCTATATACTGCTCCAGAACGGTGGAATATCTGATATTTGTGTTTGGCTCATGTACAACATACTATGGGATGCCACAGTACGGTTGTGCGCATTTCGAAATGAAAGCCGTCGTAAAGAATATGAATAAGTCAAGGTAGAAATAAAAACAGATAGTAAAATGAATCATTTCCAGTCAGGTAAGCCTTATGAATAATAAGAGATGCACATGAATAATTTAATATGAGCTTACACTGTAGTGTTCGCTTTAACTTCGCTTTAAGCTTTTGTGCACGTATGTACAGTATACCTGCATGTATCGGAATTATGCAAATTATGATACAGACGTATATGGTAAATTGTGTTTTATAGCGCCCTAATATTTGTTTGTAATGGGTATTCAAATGATACGCGTATTCGTATGATACGCGCATTCGTATGATACGCATATTCATATGATACACATATTCTGGTATTCGATTGATAGTATTTGATACACATACGCGTATCATACGGATACGCGTATCATATGTGTATTGTAAATTAAGATTAATACACGACCAATACTTTACTTCTTGAGATCTTTCTTATTTTTGCTTCAAAAATTAGTACAGTGAGGACAAATTTAATGGTCACATTCAGTGCTCAGAATGCAGGAAATGGCATTTCCGGGCTTCAAAAATCTTCCAGGGGCATGCCCCCGAACCCCCCTAGCTAGGCGAGGTCTTTGATTACGCTATGGTCAGATTTTTGGTTGGATCCGCCCCTGTGTCCAGAACCTCCTGAGTGGTGTCCAGCACCTCCCTAGTGGGGCCAAATTTTCCCTATCGTCCAGACTGGAAACTTTGCAGTATACACGGAAAATCATCCAGACTTCCATATGCATACGGAAGATCTTGCAGACAGATCTTCCATGCACAGGCAAAAATTAATGTGTGCAAAATTCTATTTTCATGAGTGTCAAGTGCACACTTGGCCTTTGAAAGATACTAAGCTTTATATAAGATATCCGCTGCGCGATACAAACTTTCCACACTGGGTCTGGCCCATCGTCAAATCGACATAGAAATGTGCATGCACATTGAAGCACTGTTTAATCTAAGATTGAAATGCTGCAATAATATTCTGTGATGCTGACTCAGCACTTGTGCATGTTCAGTCTTTATAGACAGTCTATTTCAGCCTTCAGTTTTTATAGAGTTTATAACTCAGTTTTTGGTTTTTTATTGAATTTGAACAGAAACTTAGTTATTAAACACTTGATTAACGAAGTACGGGATATACATACCTGAATGTTGTCAAACTGAAGCTATATCTCTCTGCCATATTTTAAACGTACACTATAAAAAATTTATCTTCGGAAATGTACAACAAGAAATGCAATTCAAAATGGCGAACAATCCCACAATGCTACTTTGTCGTCCATAATATTTCTATTACATCACGTATTTCACGTACCAAGATATCAAAACTCTTAATCATATTCAAATCCTTAAAAACAGGAATTTTGCATAGTTTAATTCTGTACTTTTAATATATTATTATTAGGATTTTTTTGCTGTAAAGAACGTTACTGTAATAACTGTTCCAGGGAACGATCTTTGTATGATTTAACCATTGTTAAGTTTTGAATGATCATGATTTAAAAACAATGAAAATTATATACTGCAAAGAGAATTTTTAAGGAAAACTCAGGAATATCTAAACTCTTGCTAAGGAATTCAAGTTTGGTTGAATAACCTACCATTGAAGTGAAATTTCTGTTTTACAGTGAATATCAGTGGTAATAAAACGCATAATGAGTCGGAATTACTATAAACGTGCTTCACATCGAAACTTCTATAAGCAAGCGTCGCATATTCCTTCTCGGAATACTGATATATTTTACAATTATGCAAGATCAAATGCAAGACCCTATACAATTGCAATGGATATTCAAGACGACCAACCAGAACAAGCCAGGGGAGTGCATGTCACCTACACCAATGATCCTGTAGAAGCCGAAGCATGGCTAAGAAATAATGTTATGGATATCGACACTAGAGCCTTGGGCTTCGACATCGAATGGAAACCGCAATTCGTAAAGAAGAAATTAGGTGGCAAGGAAAACAAAACAGCTGTATTGCAACTCTCAACCGAAACTGCCACCCTGGTTCTCCATATAATACACGTAAAGACACTCCCAAGACATCTTGTTGACATTCTAGCTGATCAGAGCATTCTTAAAGTGGGATGCGGTATTCGTCCAGATGTTATCAAACTGTTAAGGGATACCGGTTTACAATGTAAAGGTGCTATAGATTTGGTTGAGCTGGCATCAAGGTCAGGCTATACTAAACAACATGGTCAAGGCCTGAAAACGTTAGCTATGAATGTACTGGGGATTGAAATGACTAAACCAAAAAGAGTACAATTGAGTAACTGGGAATTCCTGCCCCTGACACGAAGTCAGATTTGTTATGCTGCGTTAGATGCTTGGGTTGGCATTAAGCTCCATTCGCACATGCAAAAACAGATGAACAATGGCAAAAATGCAAAGTCTGAAATCGACGGTTTGATAGATGTCCAGCCAAGTGACATTGTGATTGTATGTTGTAATGTCTGCGGTAAGAAGTGTAAAGGTGAGGGTAAGTTGCAGGAACACATGGGTAATGCAGGCCATAGTCAGTGCCCAAAATGTGGAATGATGTTTGTGTTTGCTGTAACAAGAAAACACCGTAATAAGTGTACTGGTTCTGAAGGCCATTCTTCACAAAGTGCTAACTTAAAGACAGTATTCTGAATAAATACTCTTTGTTAAAATTGAACTTGTCACCTGTAATATAATGTACAGGGTTCCCATGAAAAAAATAAATCCAGCCCTGGAAAATATTTGAAAAGTAGTGCAGATCCTTGAAAGTCCTGAAATTTCTTTCCTTTTGTGCTGTTATACTTGAACATTACTAGTCTATTGATCTTAAAAAGTTTATTAAATGCTTAGTGTTTCAGAAAATCTGCCATTTTTTTCGGAAAATCTGTGCCAAGATTTTTCCAGTTATAAGGTCCTTGAAATTACTGAAAAATGTCCTTGAATTTTATTGTCAATAAAGAGTGGGAACCCTGAATGTAAATAAATTTTCAAACATACAATTTAAGTTGAGTGATTTGACATTGACATTAGTCTTGGTAGACACACTCTGATTTTAGCATTAGGGACCGGTCCAAGGGGCAACCTCGTTCCCAGGGTCTCTCCTTCTGTCATCTTTCCCAAAGAAAGATCCTGGGTACGAGGTTGTCCAAGGGGTGGGTAAAGTAAAAATCATTAAATCGGGAAAATACTAAAATATTTGTATTATTTGTTTTAATATATTAAGATCGAATAAATACCATTTACTTGTATCGATTTGTAAAGTATTCCATTTGAATGTGCCATAATAGTATTACAGTCAAACCCGATGTTCTCTTGCAAGCAACATTGCAATATTGTCCCACGATATTGCAATTTTGATAGGCAGATTCTGATTGCTCTGAGCAATTTGCAACCCACGCAAACAAATTGCAAGTTGAAATTCACAAAAGATTTGTAAACAAAGCCTCTGATTGGATTATAAGAAAGAGGGAAGTCAATCAAATAGTTAGTAAGAGCAACTGGATTGGTGCTTCCCTCTTTCTTATACAATCAGAGGCTTTGTTTACAAATCTTTTGTGGATTTCCAACTTGCAATTTGTTCGCATCGGTTGCAATTTGCTCAGAGCAATCTGCTTATCAAAATTGCAATTGAATCGGGTTTGACTGTAATGATAAACTGACAGAGTTCATACTACTGTAGTTGGCTTTTTTGTTCTCTCAAAAACTCGAATAAGTCAATTTAGCTTTTAAATAAGTAAATTGTCAAAATTAGGCCTAAGTTAGGGTGGGTCTAATATTTTTGAATGAGTGCTGGGGTTAATAGGTGGAGAAAAAAATTTTTTTGAAGGTTGGGTCACTAAAAAGTTAGGCGAAGAAAATGTTTCCCTCAGTGCCCCCCCCCAGCCATAAATAATGACCGGTCCCTTAGTAGGTAGGACTTGAGGACCATTAGTACTATCGGTGGGACGTTTTGACCATTAATTAGTAGGTGGGACTTTTTGACCGTTAATTAGTAGGTGGGACTTTTTGACCGTTAATTAGTAGGTGGGACTTGGGGACCGTTAGTAGGTGGGCCTTGGGGACCGTTAATTAGTAGGTGGGACTTGGAGACCATTAGTAAGTGGGTCTTTGGGGACTATTAGTAGGTGGGACTTGGGTACCGTTAGTAGGTGGGACATGGGTCCATTATTGGGTGGGACTTGGGGACCGTTAGTACTGGTAGGTGAGAATTGGGGACCATTAACAGGTGGGACTGGGACATGATGGACAGGGACTGGGAAACGATGATCTCTTTATAACAATAATCAGTAAACATCTTTAAATAAATTTTTAGAGTGCTGTTAAACTATCTGGCGTAATGCTGACAACGAACCTGAGTTGCATTGGTAATATTCGCGCATTTTGTGCCCTCGCGCGTTAGATACTTAGATAGAATACTTTATTTCAAGAAGGTGGGCCAATCAGCACGTTAATCATTATGGCTGGAACCTTGAATTTGTCACTGGTAGTCTTTTGTTTTTGAAACTTGAATAGCTGAATACAAACAAAGCCTTGAAACACAATGTACTTCCGCATGCTTAATCTCCCCGCGTCTTATTAGATACTAATAACAAACAAAGACTGAATTAACAAGACTAGCAGACTAACTGACTCATTTTACGTGAGTCTCTGAGCCTATAAAATGGGTGACAGCTTTTGTCAGACATTCACCTACAGTGCGCTTCCAGGAAAACAACAACACGAATCTGACGTAGTATATAAACACACTTTTTAAAATTTTGGGTGCGATGTCTAACGCGGATAATTGTGTTCGGTGTAAGAAGCCTGTGGGAAAACGCAGCAAGGTCTGCAATGTGACGGCTGTGGAAGGTGGCAGCATAGAACCTGTGAAACAGGAATTTCTGAAACAGATTACAGGTATCTAGGGGGACGAAACGTGAAGGGGACGAAACGGCAAGGGGACGAAACGGCAAGGGGACGAAACGGCAAGGGGACGAAACGACTAGTTACAATTATTATGAATACTTGTATGACTTGTATGCGAGTAACTAAGTCTACAATAACTAAATCCGTCTCAGTAGTCAGAATGTCTTGTCTGGAATCATACCAGACAACGTCATGGCGGCAAGGGGAAACTGATACCCCAACACACTTGACCTCAGTTACAGTAAACAATCCTTTAAAAGCAGCAATTAAGCTGAAATTAGCTGAACGGTTATTGTTTGTAAATAAGTTTTTAATAACAATAATAATCGTATTATGTTTGCGATGTTACTCTGAGTGCATATCCACACCGGGCGAGCTTGAAAAATATGCCCGGCCACGGTGGGATTCGAACCTACGACCTTTGGAATACTAG